GCTTACACCTGTGTGGTGTGCTTGTGGCGGGAGCTTCTCTTTTGTTTGTTGTTTCTGTGTCCCGGGCAGTTTGGTTTTTGGATCGGCTTTCTTTTCTTCTTTTGGGAGTTATGCTTGAGTTTGTTTGTTTATTTTGAAATTATTTTGGCCTACAGTTTTTGTCCTTGAGGTTTTTGCACCAGATCCTTAAGTTTACTTCTTATTAAAATATTTTTTTGATTTATTCACTGTGTGCTTCCCTTTTATTTGTCATGATGTTGAGCCAGTCATGACAAATGAAACCCACCCACTACAACTCCACCTGTAATGGCACAGGCCCGTCACAGATGGAAGAATCTGGGTTTGGCAGATGCCTGGAAAATACTACCTACCACAATACATAGCTTGAACAGTAAAGTTTGGTGGAGGAGGGATAATTGTCTGGGGCTGTTTTTCAGGGTTTGTCCCCCTGTTGTGCAGTTGGAGGATGTGTATATGTGTGGCTTGTGCTGTTCTGTGTTGGGCTGTAGGGTAGTTGGAGTAATGTTACTGCCAACTGCCAGGGTGAGATGTATGGCTGTTTGTGACCTGTCTGCTTCACGGCCATTCTGACAGAGGCGGGTTTCTCCTGCTGCTGTGTAAATTAATGAGCACTCGTTTGAAGTGCTATGTTTCCTGCGTTGTCTTCTTCTACACTGATGCCACTGTATGCTTCCAACATATTGGAAGCATATTGCGTTGCCACAAACTGTTGGTGATAGCTCGGTGACAGGGTTGTGGGGGGGTGGGGATGTGGAGTGGGGTAACTCCATATAATTGCCCATGGTTTTGGAATGGGATATCTGACAAGCTCATTTAGGTGTTATGGTCAGATATGCACATACTGAAGCCCATATAGTTTAGCTATGAATTATCTCAAAATAATTTAGTGAAGATTGTTAGTAAATTTGTAATTCCAGGGGTGAACTCTGACTTTTAGAGCTAGGCCTTCAGTTTGAGGTACAATCTCAAAACTCACAAAACCCACCTCTACTATAATGCTAATTTCTGGTAGCATCCCTATGGGATTCTAATTGTTTGTTAGTGTTAAGCTAATGGCTGTCCTATAGTAAACACAATCCATGTTTTAACAAATGCTTGTGACAGACATATTAGCATATATTTTACCTTGCAGCAGTTTCACAGTAAGCTGTGAAATAGTGAGCTCTGGTCTAGAGCTGCCACCACAGTTTTCCATTGATTAGACTGCCACTCATATTCACAGTCAGGGATGTATCTAGGACTTCCAGAAGACCTAGAGTGATGTTGTTTCTCCCAAAATTAGTCCCACCTATTGCCAATCAAAATGTGAGAGTTTGATTCCTCTGTCACTTTGTCATTATGCTCATAGTTGGTATGAGTTAGTATAATTTAGTAGGCCTTCTCTTTGGCTTCGAAGTCCTAGCTAATCAGAGGGCTCGCTTATTTATATCTACCTAGAAACCACAGACAAGTTTGAGAAGTTTCTGCTCAGCATTTGAAAATGTAACCCTTTTCTACCAAACAAAACAAGAGTTGTGCCATGACACTTGCAGAGTTTGAATACAAGCAAGATTCTATTGAATAAAAAGGAACTAAAGATCACAGACGCTTTTAGTTTCTAGAAATTATTAGGCCTTCTCTGAAGTCCCTGAGGCTTCCCCTTACTAGTAAATTCCCCATTTAAAAATAAATAGACATACTACCTTTTTGCATCGTATCATGTGACACAAGTAAAACATGGGAAAGTTTACTGAAATACTGAAAAACACAAAGGTCATGATTACCAATGGAATCTACAGACTAAGCACAAAAATATATACATGCTGCGCGAACCTGGCAAAATTACATTTTCATTGAATTCAGATGGGCCATGATGTTGATCAAAGAGTATTTCAGAAGTAAGACTAACAATAACAAAAACTGTTATTAACTGATAATGGAGAATTCATATCAGTGATTTACAAGAATGTCATACTCAAAACACACTGATGACCTAGAATCATTCTGAGGTAACTTGCACTCAGCTGTTTGCTTTAGCTTGTGCAGTATTTATGAGCATTTAGTGCAAATTGATGTCTTGCTTTTTCTTGTCAGAGGCGTCTTGCTTCTAGCTTTGACTGCTGTCATTGGTGATGCTATTTGCATTGCTTTTGTCTAGAGCTCAGCATCAGTTATATGGACTGCGGTGATGGATGTTTGTAGTGGTTGCTAGGAGAACACTACCTACCAGAATACATGGTGGCAACAGTAAAGTTTGGTAGAGGAGGGATAATGGTCTGAGACCACCTAGTTTCAGTGAAAGATAATGGTAATGCAACAGCATACAAAAGTATTTTAGTGTGGGAGGCGTGGCCATGCGGCTAGTAATTTAATGAAGGTTTTTAATAAATTCATAATTACAGTGGTGAGTGACTGTTAGAGGTAGGCCTTCAATTTGAGCCAAAATGTCAAAACTCAGCCAAAACATAAGGAAAAATCTACCTCTACCATAATGCTAATTTCTGGTAGTGTCTCTATGGGATTCTTGCTTCCAGTTTTGACTGCTGTCATTGGTGATGCTATTTGCATTGTCTTTGTCTCGAGCTCAGCATCAGTTATATGGACTGCGATGATGCATGTTTGTGGAGGTTGTTATAATCAGCACTGTTTCAAAATAAGCATCATGTAATGTACAAGGAATGACCTAATGGCAGTGCCAGATTAAGATCCTGCCATGCCATTGGGCATTACAGCTATAGTGCTCTATCCCCACAAATCTACTGATAATAACCTTTCAGCTAAAACCTTGTGAAGATAGGTCAGGTATCACTATAAAATGCCAAAACAATATGTCAAAATGATCATATCTATGTTTTACCCACATAGATGGGACTGTCTACCAAATTTACACAATGATGATGCTTTTTTGGATTTTATGGCTGGATTATTAAGATGACTCTTGTGGTGCGTGAATAGATTTAAAATAAACTGTTTCAAAAAGTGTTATGTTAACAGATTAAAATCATTCAAAACCATCCACTTTTTTGGAGGAACCTTTGGATGGCCCAGAGCAGCCCCCAAGTCACCCATGTGGTATATCTGGCCATGCCTAATGGACTTGGAACTGCCTGGTTCAAGTTCAAACTCTAATACATGTCATTCACCCTTTGTACTGCCGGAGTATATGGATTGTTGTGGTGGTCAATTTGAGTGTCTCCTCCAAGGTGCTGCTAACCAGAGATGTGACCTTGAGTCATGTGACTTCAGACATGAATCTGAAAAATTTGATGACTTGAATCTCAACTCAAAAAAATCAAAAAAGATGTGCAACTTGAGTTCGACTTGAACACCAGTGACTCGGCCTTTGATTTGGCCTTGAGCCTTATGACTCGACAAGACTCGAGACCTACACTGAAAGAAGTGTGAAGAGGTGTCGGGCTGCAGATGGGACTCTCTACAGTCTGTTACTTTTCATATGCATGGATTTGTGGCCTGGCCTAGGCATGCCAGAACTACAACAAATGTAAAATTAAAGTCGTGAACTTTGTTTACTTTGCTTATGCTTGGCTTATTATTATTACTAGAAAAACTTTCCAGTTGAACTTACCATTTTTCTCTATTTGAGTGATTTTAATGGTTTATGAAGTCAAAACAAGCACAAATTTCACCACAAAGCTGAAGCTGACTTTTATTCGCTAGCTTCAAATTCGCTATTTGCTAACTAGCATATTCAGATCTACCTGTCCACCTTACATGGGGCAGTAGTTAAATTCCTGAATGTTGCCCCATTTAAGGTGGAATGAAAAATTTGAATAAGAATCCATCTTCAGCTTTGCAAATTCACCAGCATATTGTGGTCTCTTCTGTAAACTTTATCCGATATGGTTGTTTTGGTTTCTGTTGTTTGTTGTCTAAACTCAATTCAAACTAGCATTTTTTTATTAAAGAAAATTATTTTCATGTAGCTGCACTTATATTTGTGTATCCTGTTTTGTCTGTCATGGTTATCTGTGTACCATGGATTTAGTCATTTATTTGGAAGATAAAAAAAAACATTAACATACAACTGTTTACTGCTAACATGCTGTCATTTAATAAGCTATATTACAGGTTATTTTTGGGGTTCAGTGTTGAAATTACATTGAATGTGCTGAAGAATGGCTACTGACTTGCTTAGGACTCTGGACTCGACTTCAGACTTGCCTGTACTGACTCGGGACTTGAATTGTGATTTGACTGCCTTGATTCGGGACTTGAGCATCTTGACTTGAGACGTATTTCTTGTTTCCAACTTACTTAGTGATAACTTCTGCTGCTAACACAATGCGGAAACATCACTCTGTGCCAGCAAACTGTTGAAACCTCTAACACGCTCATTTCTGTTCTTAAAAAGAGCATAGAAACAGGAACAGGAAGTCTGTGACACACACACTCTCTCTCTTTCTCTCTCTCTCTCTGCCTGTATGATATATTCTCTCCTGCTCTCAAAAAACTGTGTAGGAAGAGGGGCATGAGGCATGAGAGAGAGTTAGAGCTGCTAACCAGCTGCTGCATCTGAATGGAGTATTTCTCTGAGCTCAATGTAAGGTAAAAATCTCCCACCTTCTGAACCTTTTTCAGGATGGCTTGAGGTGTCATGATAGCATAATTGCAAGGCTTAACAACCAAATTGCGAGTAGTGCTAGAAAATTCTAGCTGCGGTTGAAAGTACATATCAGAAAGTAGAACATACATATCAGTTTGAGTAGTTTTACAAATGATAATGTGTTTAATTCTGGCAAAATGTCTAGCCTCTGTTGCTGAGCAAGAGTTCATGTGATTGACATGTAATGGCTGCAGACATTTCCCTACTGTGGGTACTTTACTCAAACTATGGACATTAGTATTTCAACAGCGTAATTGCATTTCAACTTTGCATTGTATAAGTATTGCATAAACCTGCATGCAGCATGTTGAGTAACATGATGTTGTTGCTGCTTAGTGTAACTTTTGCTAATCTCTTCTTGCCCTGTTTCTTGCAGTGCTCCAGCTGAAACTTCAGCAGAGACGCACTCAGGAGGAACTGGTCAGCCAGGGGATCATGCCACGTAAGTACCGCAACACATTTTTCTTTTAAACATGAACTACCGCAAACCATCACGGTCCACACTGTCCACAGGTGTTGCTGCAAGTTCCTGTTCAAGTCCTACACAGTCCTATAGTGTACTACCTGCAGTACAGAGGAAATTAGTGCCTCAAGGTTCTATTCTAGGCCCTTAACCAAATCTGGGTTTTTTCATCTTTGTTTTTTTTTTTGTTTTTTTGAGGAACTTCTTAAACGTGTGATATTCAAATTTGGTAATCCACTGTATTTCTTTATAGATGTTTTTGAAGCTGTAGCAATAAAAGCTACATCCTTATCTACACTAAGGTAAATGCCTGCATGCTAGTGGTAAAAATGGCAGATTCAGGCTTTGGAGCTCATCCTGTCTCTCTAGCTCCGGTTTGGTTTGTAGATCGTAAGATTGAGTAAAACTCACTTCCTTTGCTTTGTGGGTTGCTCTTTCCGCTGTTTCAGTGTAAATACCTGCCCATTCAAATCAGAACTACTTCACTGCATAAACCTGCACTGTTGCGGCTGTTGTTCTGCTGACCCTGAAAAACATGAATATAAGGGCAAATTGGGTCAGTTGCATTCTGGGTTTGAGTGGACGATTCCTACGTTTGGCTGGAGTTAACCTTAAAGAAGTAAACCCAGATGTCAGTGTTTATACATTATATGGGAAAAGCTAGACTTTACCTAATGAATCCAAGCTCAGTTGCAGGCCTGAGGGTTTGTTTGGACAAGCAACCCTCTATTTCAGGTCATAGCGTCACTCTTAGTCCAGGGGAATGACGTCACAAAAAACAAGTGATTCATTGGGTTCAAATGTTTACATCATTTCCACATCAATAAAATATATTACATTCGCACAATTACTGCCAAAAGTAAATGAACCGAAAGACAAAATTGTGTTTATAGTCTTTTATTCATGTGGAAATTTTGTCCACATTTGAATCAACTAGTTTTAATGCAGTACTTTTTTCAGTGCGCATTACGTCTTGTCTACAAGAAATGCTAAATCAGACTCTGTTTACAGCACCGTATGCTAACACAAATAATGCGTTCATGCCTGCATGCTTGGGCCTGATCTGTTGGATTGGTTTTCATGGCTGAATGACCCAAGCGCAGGACGTCTATTGAGGGCTGTCGGCTCACGGGGGGCTACCGTTTAGGACGAGGCTAATGTGAAATCGTCTTGTGTTAGCGTTGATGGGGTAGATGGCCTGCTGGAGAACGCGCTCGCAATCCGCTCTGACGGAGGTGGCTAGCGCTTGTCAGCTTTCGCAAGACAAGAGGTTTGAAATGCGTCGTTTCCAATTTGCCATCTTTGCCATGTGTCGGCCATATTGAACGCACGCAGTACTGAGGTCTCTAGCTAGGCCTTGGGTAGCTTTTCAACCCTAACTTGTCTAGTGTTGTCAACAATCCATTCAGAGTCTTTCCTCTTTAACTTATTAAAATCTGCCCCAGAGTAGTTCATGCATCTTGACAGTGGGTGTGACAAAATAAATCAGCTTGTGTAATTGAAGCAGTACAGAAAGGGCTGTTTTTTAGCCTCAGCATTAAAAGGTTATTAGTGTTTGTACAGTGCACACAGTGTTGGGCAGTATAAAAGCCTTTGTTACTCAGATACATTCTTATTTCTGGCCCCATATGTACAGTTATGAAGGGTTTCCCTTATTTTTACTATTTTGCCAAATTTAGAATTATATTAAGATATCAAAACTATAAAACCACACATATAGTGAAGAAAAATACACAGTATATTCAAAGCATATCCAAAAATATTATAGTATATTAATATATTATATGGATGGGTTTTTTATAGTAATAATATATCCAAAGTATATGAATTACATTTTTTAATTCTTTAGCTTTATGAGGAGCCACAACAAATGTACTGGAGAAAGAAACAAAACAAAACATAAAATGTGGCCTGTGCAAAAGTTATGGCACATTTTATACTGTACTATTTTTTATTTTTCCAATATATTAAACTCATAAAAATTGTGGAATACAATTTGCAGGAGCTTGTTCCCTGTGAAGATTGTGAATGTATTTTCACAAATTAACAAATGTTTGTTAGACAGATGACTACACATATTTTATTTATTTATTTATTTTTACATTTCAAGAGATCATGAAAACACATACATTCAACCAGGCATATCAAGCTTTTGACTGTGACTGTACGTTTTTCTGTGATGAATGTTAGGCCTTCTATCTATCTCATCATATTCCTTGGGTCATTTAACTTACACATTCATTCCCTGAGCAGTGTGGGCCTTGTGTTCGTGTGAAGACTGTGTAGGGGGTGAGGTCAGGTTCCCATGTGTCAAAACTCACTAACCATGAACTAAAAAGCAGAACTGACCCTGGACTGGGCATTCTGACGTTAGATCTGTTCACTTTTAACTGCATTGGCATTTTAACTGTTTTAACTTTCAGTTTGTCGTATTAATGTTTCTTATAAACGTTGCTAATAAGGATGTAAATTCTGTCCTCATAACAATTTGGTAAAATCTCACATTTTAGCACAGTTTCGTAGTAGTGGAATATAGGCAATAGATAAACATTTGAAAATAGGTAGAGAATGAGTGCATACAGTTGAATATTATAATAATGTATAAATAATTGATTCTGGCATTCCACTGTTGATGCAGTTAAACAGTTAACTACTTTTCTACTGAGTAGTTACTTTTTTAAACTGCCTCCACTAACGGCTGAGGAGGAAATCTATCGTAAAGATGACATTTTGATACAGACGAGGGAACAAATGGGGAAGCCCAGTTCAGACAGTGGAGCATTATTAATGCGATAGATCATCAGTGATAACGTGGTGGCGTTTTATATTATTTGTCACTTGTTGCTCATTAAAAGAAGCAGTGAAATTCTGTGTAAAGTGCAGATTCTAACTTGATTTTATACAGATTTGCAGATTCTATACCACTGTGTTTGTAAGTAATAGAGGAGATATTCTACTATGATTTAAATTTGATGAAAAGTTATTTTTGTGTACAGTCATGTCAAGGAAAGAAACCAAAGCCCTGACATTTTTGCCATGTTTTCATAATTATGTTAACATGGAAACAAATGAAAGTAATAAGAAAAAAAAAAAACTGAAACAAAAGCAAGAGGGTTTCAGCACCTTTGTTACCCTAAAAAGCCAAAGGTGCAGTCGATACAAATGTAAATTGAATGTAGATATAATTTATTATGGAACTAATTATATAATTAATTAGTTAACATATTAGGGCATTTTTGTTTCCTTTGGTCCATATATTCGATAAGCTTCCCTGACAACAAATATAGACTTTAGTCTTTTATCATTTTATTCATCATAATACATTCAGTCGTTTGGTTACATGAGTCCACTGAATATGATTGTGAGTTAAAGTATGAAAATGACACTAAAATTGTGCAAAAGAATTTTATACATACTTTTAGATATTCATCCACAGTGTGTATATATATATATATATATATATATATATATCAAAATTGTAACAGATTTCAAATTTAATCCATTTCATTTCAAGCTGTATTTTTCTTTATCATGCTAAATGTAGTTATTGGACAGTAATGGGTTGATTATGTAATTAAAGTCCCAGTATGTAGAAGACAAGAGAATAAGGTCTACAGGGAAAGAGCAGAGGTTTCCCACAGGCAAGCCATGGACAAGTATCACCACTAATAAAATCCAATATTTATTTATTATAATATTGTAATTATCCTTATATTATTAAATAGTCTTTTATATAATGCTTAATTTTTGCCATTAAAATGTTTAGAAAGCATTTTATGTCATTTTAAACACATCAGCCCACATCATGTGGGATAGCATAACACGGTCTTATGACATTTTAGCCACCGCCTGGGATCATATAGCAACAGCCTAGCAACACCGTACACTCAAAAAATATTTAAGCCCAAAAGTTAAAACTTATGTATTTTAATTACATGTCAATTTTCCATTCAATTCAAATACATAAATCCAATGTAAAAATGGTATTATAAATTATGTTTCTCCACCATGTTCAATAAACCTGAATGAATTAAATAACGTTTGAATTAGAAGTGCTTGTAGGATTTATGCAATTCTTTAACATAACATTTATGTATTTCTAAAGAGTTAATAGTACCTTCTGTATTCACAGCACAATTACTTAGACTGTGTAAATGTATTAAATGACAATACATGTTAAATTCACAAACATGTATTGTAGTCCAAACTGTATTAAACAGTATTTGCTGAGGCTTATTGCAAGACACATGTAAACTTTAAAGTCTAATGTGAAAGAAATAAACATAACTTTATATATTTCAGCTGTGATCTAACCATCTAACCATCATGCAAGTTATCTAACTAACGCTATCAGTCACTTCATGCCATGCTAACATGTCAAGGTCACCTACAGTTACAAAGACCATGAACTGTTGATTTGAATATTAATGGAATACATCTTTATATACTACGCATCACAATAAATCACTGCCATTGTTTATTTAATCTACCTTTTGTACCCATTAACATGACAGCAGACCTAGCAAGGATGCTAGCTAGCTAGTTCTCTGGTGTTGTCTAGAGTATCTCTCAAAATAAGCAAAATGAAACATTAATATATGGTCAAAAACATTAAACACACAAATTAAGTTAAAGAGCATCACTATTTCATTGCAGTTGCACTGTATAACAAAGAATGGCAGGAGATTATGAAAATAAAAAGAGCCATTTCATGTCCACCATGCCAGCTGAAGCAATTTCCTGGTTGATGATGCGTTTCCTGTTACTATTTCACATGCGCACTGCCTTCTAATAAGATTTAGTGGAAAAATCTAAAAGGTCTTCTACAATTCAATTAAATCAGTTTTGGATTTATCCAAATCGGGTTGCTTCTAAAGAATATAAATCAGTAAAGTATATTTTTATGTTTTTTAAATAAGTTTTATATAAAATATTTGCTTAATGTTTATGATGGCCATAAATAATTTTTTTGAGTGTAG